TTGTAAAAAAACGCTTCCTGGAGAATGTGTTACCTACTACATTTGACTTCATGCAGGCAATAGGAAAAAATTATACCTTTTTTATGGCGGCTGCTTTGTTGTGATAATCAAAATTGTTCAAGGACATAAAAGAGACAAAATTCAATTTACAGGCCAAGTTACGTTTTAATGCATTAGGACAGATCATAACACCGCCCAATCACTAGTGCAGCCAATGATATTGGGAAAAAATGTCAATTTAAACTCTTATTTAAGGGTTCTCTCGGCTGAAAGGTATTTAATCATTACGGAGCGAGCGAAGCGAGCGGAGTCTTTCCTTAGATTAACGGAAATTTCTGAGTATGAGGGGCCGGCCTCACGATTTTGCGACGCTTATATCTCGCTACCACTTGACCGATTTACACGCGGTAATTTTTGTAGGGTAGCTTCATTCCTTCTACCAAGTATTGGACTATTCCCGATGCATGTGGGTGACCCCTTATGCACGTGCCACGTGCAAAACGAAGAGGTGTCACTTTTGTAATTGTTGCAATATCTCGGTAACTACTTGGCCCATTGCGCTGAAAGTTGGCATGTATAGGTAGGCACCCACTAGGCAATGCATATCCATGTGCCAGAGTTGGGGTGCTGGTGCACGTGCGCACGTGCAGGGGTCGATTCCAGATCTCGAGAACGGCTGGACCGATGGCGCTCAAATTTGGTACATGGTTAGGGACCGGTTAGTAGGGTGCCGTGCAAAAGTCAGTTGGGACCCATTTTGCACGTGCCGGTGCGCACGTGCAGGGTGCCGCTTCCAGATCTCGAGAACGGCTGGGCCGATTGTGCTCAAATTTGGCACATCGCTAGAGACCGGTTAGTAGGGTGCCGTGCACAAGTCAGCTGGAGGTACCCCCTCGAAATTTCGCACGTGCAAGGCTCACCCTCTCGCTCGCTCCGTTAGTCGCCCCAAAAGGCGTTATACTGGTTGAATAAGACTTCAATCATTGAATGAGGTCTTCGGGGATGGTCTCCATCCCTAACGGTGCATGATTGTCTCACGGTTTCACCGATCCGCGCAGCTCACGTCTTGTCACAACTGTGTTTGCCGTCGGCGGCGTTACAATGTTTCTTCCTTTCTCAAATTTGAAGGTTAAATGGATAGCTAGTGGCTACGGTCCCGAGTGCTTGCTAAGCGGATCTTTTTGCAAAGGACCATTTTTTTTCTGAAATAGGATCTTTCTTCACAAGACCCTGTTATTGAAATATTATCGCAATGCTGACCTTCTACATAGTTGACAGGCCTGACTTGTTACCCGTCAAAGGATGGTCCCGAGACGTCACATACAGAGGTCAGCCCGGGTGTCAATCACTGCCTTCCCCTCCCGTAAAGGTCGGTCACATTACGTAACACCGGATTGGCCTGGGTACGGCCACCCCGCCGGAGGGCAGTTGGCCCGCAGCCATGGCGACGGTGGTGCCTCTGCTTTGTCTTCTCAGTCTGACGCTGGTGGCGGGGACGCCCCTTCCGCAGCACGCCAACCGATATTTAAAGGCGACTGAAGACTGCAGCGTCGGCCGCGTCGATAGCTGTCCTAAAGGACTGACATGCTGCAGGGGCACCTGTTGGAGTATGTGTCTGCCTCTGTTTCGGCATCCGGTAGACCCTCCGACTCTGATTCTGCATTAACAACAGCACGGCCGTTGACAATCAAGCCGCCTACGACTGCATCTCCGTCTTCGACTGTGGCTACGCCCGTGATTGTGGCTCCGCCCGCGACTCCTCCGCGGCCCCAGCTCCCGATCCAAACTCCGACACTTCTGCCCGGCGCACAGTGTGGCCGAACACCAGTTTAGCGCGAATTTAATCCCAGCGCCGCTCAGATCCACTGAAAACGGTTATCTGGTTCCAAAACTGACATTTACCCCTCGCCGGACCTATTGGTTTTCAAAATACGCGCCGGCCGAAGGGGGGGGGGTACGACCCCCGTCGCTGTTTCGCCCCTGATGAAGCTAGAGCCTCGCGGAAAAAAACGAGCGTGTGTGCCGTTACGAGACGTAGCAACTGGTATCCGATTTTAAGGTCTCAGGTTAACCTGTGACCTCTGAGGTCAGGTCAAGTGGCCCAAGGCACGGATTCGTTTTTTATTAATAACTTCGCGAAAAAATGCCACAGAGCCGCAATTTTGGCATCATCGTGTTCGCCTCGCTCAGGTGCGTCGAATGGTATACTTTTTGTTCGGCTGAAGTCAACTTAAGGTGTTGACCTCGGGTCAAGGTCAGGTTAGAGCCCCCCCAGATCACGAAGTTGGTCGAAGGAGGTCATGCTGCATATCATTCGATTCGGCAGGTCTTCCTGAGTCCATTGGTGGCTTTCCCGACTCGCTAGCTCAATTTGATCGGGAGTTATTGACGAAAAACTCTTATTACCCTAGTGACGTCATAAATGACGTCACGTAAGGCCAATAATGCAAAAGTGAAGCATCGGACTTGCAAGGAGTGCATGAAATCACGATTCCGTGTGCTTGATATAGTTAATTAGGCTGGAGCCTGTTCGGCCGCGCCGCCCCCGACCTTGGTCAGGTCACGCCGGGCGACCGACTAGACATGTTCAAAGCTGAATTGACGGCAAATAGGCAAAAAGTGGCAGCTGAAACTTGCTCGCTTATGTTCAGAAATGTGCGGAGAGTTCAGCCATGCCCTATTCGTCATATCCATTTTTATCCATTTTGACATTTTCCAACTTCTTTATGAAATACTATCGTGAGAACGACACACATGCAGGGCTCCTGTTCTAACTCATTAAACTCAGAAACCATTCATTGAAAAGCTACCATGATAGCAGAAACAGCTTCATCGTGAATTGTGCTATCCGGTGATATGCTATTTTCTCATATATCTTCTCGAAGCTTCCGTAAAATTTACATTGAAAACTGGACATATTTCTCAGTACCATAGCCCGATTTCAGGAACCGGAGCGTGGGTGTACTTTCGGCAGGGATATAAGTCCTCAAATGATAAAGTGGCTTAAAAATAAGGTTCTATCCGATAACTTCGGACAATTTCCTACCCATTGATAGGTATAAATAACAGTTTATCGAAAGTCGGGTTTTTGATTAAATTCGCGCTAATCTGGTATTCGGCAAGACCGTGCGGCGGTGGAGCGGAGCGGCGATGGAAGCGCAGATGTGGCCAGCTTGGACCAAGCTGCAATGTACACATATACTAGATGCAACGGAGACTTCTCGGGTCCGGGACCGCATAAGTGCTGTAAGCACGCCCTGCGGTCGCATATGAGTACCAATCCCAGGACCGAGCCAGGCTAAGCTCGTGACGTGATTGGGTCATACGTATCGTCCAATTAAATATCTATCCACTATCCAGAGCAGCTAGATATTAACGCCATTGGATGAGGTCTTTGGTAATACAAATGCTGTCGAATGTGTAACCGCACTCATCAATTAACTCCTGGCTATACGAAAATCGCAAGTGTGTGGACCTAACCAAGTCTAACCGATCTAAGCAAAAATATATATATCCATCTACGGAATGTGTTTTACAGCTCTCGGTACCCTGACTTCAGCCAGTGCGCCAAACTTTAAATAGTCATTTGATATGACCCTACAATCCAATGGTATACATCTCTGTGTCCGCTTGCCTGCACTGAGTGTAGGGGAGAGTGGGGTAAGATGCCCAGGGTGGGAAAGACGCCCCACCCCCTCTAGCGGCAAAACAAAGAATCGAACCTTGAAATTAACGTTCTTGGCGTTAAGCGGAAGCCTGCCTTGTTAACTGCACCAAAATTTACCAATGTCAGTCAGACAACGGTTGGCTGGTGATTGCATGTTTTTTATTTGCTACTTTCAAAAAATATTTTGGTGTCAAAACATTGTAAATATCAAAGAAGGTAACTAATTTTTATGTCCCTTGCTATTGTCGTGATACATTAATATGTGTGCACTTTGTCCCAACCAGTTTGTTTTAGGATGTAGTTTTAGGGCTAACAAATTGTACTGATTAAATGTTAATTCGGTACCTTGGGGAAAGATGCCCCCTGCCCTAATGGGGAAAAACGCCCCCTAAATCCGTACGCTGCCCTTCAAGCAACCCGTCGAATCATTTAGTACATACTTGTGATGAGAGTGATGAGGCTTGTTCATAATCGGCTGGCAGGAAACGTCAGCCAAAGATGGCGCTCGACGGAGAGGGTTGAGACTTGAGGAGAGGTAACATTTTCGCGCTTTTTTCAACGACTTTCTTCCGTTACATTATATTTCTGAGGGTTATTTGCCGAGCTATATAGAAAAAAATTACAGGATTGATAATTGAGGCGGTGCTGGCATTTCGATTTGTAGGTACTGTTTTCAGGCTGACTCGCACATTGCGCTATGAAAAAAAAATTGCTATCTTTCACGAAAAATATTGAATACAAAATGCGTCAAAAACATTGCATAAAAAACTTACCACCTGCACTCTAAAGCTGCGCTTTGACCTACATGCGCCACTTTCGAGCCACTTTGAATTTCGGCTGACGTGCTGCTGCCCTCTTCCAGCAGCCGAAAAGCCGGCTGTCAGCAGAGGTATGACGTCATAGCGCGGGAAGGTGTTATACGTCATCAATATCTCAACCAATCAGGGGTTTGGATCTCAGCTGACGACAGCACAGCAGCCGATTCCGACCAGGCCTATGCTGACTCAGAGAGCCAATCAGTCACCAGCTGACCAATCAGAGCCGCCTCATACCATACTTCAGTCAGCCACTGGCGCCGTGGAACCACCAATCAGGGCCGCTGGCAACGCGGATCGACCAATCACCGACCATTGGTGAAGCGGATTGACCAATCAGAGCCCTCTAGTACCGCGGACCCACAGGTCAGCGACCAATCAGCCGCCAGAACTTATCCAACCTAGGCGAAGGAGGAGCACCCTTCGAGCTCTTCGAGCTACGAAAACCTTTCTCTCAGCCCCATACCCTATGGCAGCCCCCAACTAGGCCCCACATTCGGCTGCAGCCCTCGCCTCACCTGTGACGACACACTCGGTAACGGTGACGCCGCGCGGGTCCACGGTGAACACGGCCGGACGCGACAGCGGCGACATCTTTAGTGACTGGCCGGAAACCACCACCTGGGACGAGTCGGTGATCTTGCAGGTGAACGGAGAGCCTGCGAATGGAGAGGACGGTCAGAGCTCAGATGCCAGGGCAATAGATGCTTAATAATGCATAACAACTTATTTTGCATAACAAACCTCATAGACCTCAAAACGACGGAATGCGCGAAAAAATCCGGGCTCGTCTAACAAAATGGCTCAAATAGTATCCGGTTTCACGGCTTTAGAGGCAACATTCTCCATGCCACCCCACCCATTTCCACTACTCCTCCCCCTTAACTTGCACAACCTCTCCCCTCATCTTTTTGTTTGTTTGTTGGGGTTAGGGGCGCGCCGACTACAAGGTCATTTTGCGCCCATCCCCTAATCTTTCCACTACACCCCTCTCCCTCTCTCCCCTTTCCACTGTCTCTTCTTCCTCACCTGGCACCGGCTCGCCGTTGAAGCGCACGCTGAGGATGTGGTTGGCCGACTCCTGCGGTTTGAAGTTGACCCGGAACCGAGCGTTTCCCTCCGACTGAACGTAGTTGGGCACGTTTCGACCGTGCACGGATACGATGATTTCCAGATTGCCGGCTCCGGCCTGGCTGGCGTCAACTGCGAGGGGAGAATGGGGGAGGTGGGTTCAGAGATGAGAATAAACGACGGATTATCTGATAGGTGGTGAGAATGTGTGAGAATATGTTTATTGTACATACTTTGCATAAAACGAATCGCCGATAAAGGATCTAGATATGAAGAAAGTTTACAGATGAAACCAAACATGGCAGAACAGGTTTCGGCAGGACCAATCGTCGAAATGAACGACTCATCCACATTTCAGTGGCCACGAATACGATGCCTAGGAAAAACGGTACAAGGTTTGGTAACTGATCTCTGAGATACATGTCCGAGGTGAAAAACAGCAAAACTTACAGCCAAGCCATCGAATAGGTAAACGGGGAAACAATTCACTAATAGCTTTGCTATCATGAACTACATATAAGCATCGACACAGCCCATATTTTCCTATATCGTCTGTATGTGTAATTTGCACACAACGGTCGAGAACGTCTCGTACCCGCATAACTGACGAAGAAGTGAGTATCAGCCATTAGGTGGACGCCTTTGCCATCACCTGATGTGATAATACCGCTGAGAAATCCTGCACCATCCTGCACACTGTTCTCACAACGACATTGCCGCCGTGGGAGGTCCAATCACTAACTACGTCTGTAAGGCGCTATTGTCTGAGAGTCTCGCCGTCGGCAAAAATACACCCGACACAACACCGCAACATTGTTCTATGTGTGGGAAACATTGCGCTCTGCGGATTCCCCTAATAAGCACTGTTGCTGACAGTGAGAAATACATTTCACAACGTAATAAATCTGATTGTGAGCATACATAGTATGTCGTCATGCGCGAAGTGAATGCAAGGTGCAGGAGCATGTCAACAAAGCTGGGTTGAATTTATAAGGTGAAGCGCTGGAGCGCTGTTGGGCTAGCCGCTTGCATATCGAATACCTCCCAGCTCACATGACAAGTGTAATCACGAATGAGGAGCAATGCAAGACACAAATAAATCAATAAATTTCCGACACAAGAATAAGTCGGTGACTCAGAGTACAGGAGAGAACGCACACAACATGACAACCCGACACATTCTTCTTATAATCTAGGCCTTTAACCAGCAGGTTTACTTACTGCAGAAGTAGACCGGCTTCCCGACGACGCCATTTTGTACATCGGTGACCTTGACCTTGTTGACGTCATAGGCCTTGACGACAAAAGGGGCTCCTGGGATAAGCATGCCTCCCAGTCGCACCTCAACGCTGTGGTCACCTGTGGAAAATCGGGACGAGTAAAATTTTACGATAGCGAAAGTGATTGCAGGGCCGCGACAGCCCGCTTATGTAAGCGCTCTGAAGTTGTAGCATATACAAGATACATGTACTTTCCCGTTCAGGATGAATAAGCCAGCAGAGAATTGATGTGAAAAATAACTAAAAAATAACATTAAGTTTATAATGTATTTTGTATAAATTAAATCCTCATAGCTATGGCAAAGTGTGCCGCATACACATATAATACTGACAGCGTCGACTTACCGACTTCGGTGGGCGTGTATTCGACCATGGCCCTGTTGTCGTCGACACTCCAGACCTCGGCCGAGACGGGTCGGCGGAGAGGCGAGAGAATCGTCACTGACAGGTCAGATAGCTCCTGTGAATAGAGACAATACGGTTAAGTTGTTTCAGCGGACAGAGAGATGCTGTTGTGGACAACTAGACAGGAAAGGGCGGATGGGGTCAGGCAGCTGCCCATGAGTCTCTCAGTGCTTAAGTCACTAAGATTTTTGGATTGTTCCTTCCAGTCTGAGTTTTGATCATGATGAATTGATTTTACTTCCCGAACTATCATCGGGGCAGACAGGTAAGACGGTATCTGTAAACTCATAGTTCGCTGAGTCTGTCTCAGTCAGTAATTCCCAGCCCTACTCACATGTGTGCCCTGTGTGTCGATGTTGAAGCAGGTCTGCCGGCCGACGGGCACCTTTCCGACACCGGCGCCGGAGACGGACACCTGGGAGGCGTCCATCACCGCGCAGCTGAACGGGGAGCCTGTTGAAACAGGGTCAGACGGGTGTCAAATGTAGAGTGGAGACGTTAGACTGCACTCTGGTGGCAGTGAACAGACGTGGGCCAGATATGGTGCAGGTTTCAGATGCACATGAGACCAGCTAAGACAGCACTAGGGGTGTATAGAGATCGGATATTGGTCAGCTGTAATGGGCAGATTAAGTGCTAATGATACAGCCCATGGATGTGGAAGTAATCCGCTGTACATATATATCTTTCTAGTTGAGGTTTATTTGCCATTGGGTCTACAATGCAGGGATATTTCTATCTCGCACTCCTCTGAGATGCAAAGATAACAATTTGTTATCTCTGCATCCCTCTGGGATGCGAAGATAAGGTCTCGAGGGTTCATAGCTAAAAATCAAGAGTTCAAGTGATGATGGGTCAATAACCGAACCATTTTTAACGGTTGTTTGTGTATGAAACTTATGAAATAAATACAAAATACTCTTAATCTATTTTTACATAGATGAATACATTTGAATATGATATTTAAATAATTAAGAATAAACCTCAACATAGAAAGATATAGGATTCCTCATGGCTCACTCGTGGAAGATCGGATATCTTTTCCTCGCGTGTAACAGAAAAACCTCGCTCCTTCGTCGCTCGGTTTTTCAGTAACCCGCTTGGAAAAGATATCCTTATCTTCCACTAGGAGCCATGAAGAATCCTCTATATCTTAATAACAGTCACTGTCATCATTGAATGTCAACCTCTTCCTTATAAACATACACATCAGAGCACGTGCCCTGTCACCGGTGACTCACCAGGCACATTTTCGCCGTTGAACTTGAGTTCGACCTGATGGAGTTTGGCCTCCTTGGGTGTGAATGAGATGGCGTACTTGTGCTGACCCTGCGACTGCGCAGATGTCGGCACCTGACCGTTGTTGACCGTCACCTCGAGGTTACCTGGACCGGCGTTCATCGTCTCCACTGGAAAATGCGAGAAATTAAATATGTTCGAACCTTATTATGAGGCTGAGGATTTTGTCGTCACTTAATTATAATGAGCCGAAAAAAACGTTTGCTAATGTCTTTTAAATTGCCTTTAAATTTGCGCATAATGAGCACATTTATTTTTAGTTTATTGATTCAAAATCTAATAGATTTGCTTCGTTCACTCTAAAAAAATAAGTGTCACAGTTTTCGTGAAATCGCCATCAACAAATATATGGAAAACGTTTCTCTGGGTTTAATGGATAGCTTTTAAATATTTATCTGACGTAATCCACCATTCAGTGTGAATGAAAGGTACCGTAACGTTACCAAACAAAAAACATGTCTTCCGCAAGAACTTCGCGCAATTAAAATGAGCATGATCTACATCAATTACAAACTGCTTCTCACGTTAACTTAACCGCCAAGTGGAGACCTACTCGAGCCACAAAAGCGTAACAAGTTGACCTTTCGGACCACTTCAGACAAAGATCCTGTCACTGTCATTTGAACAGCTTTCGGAACACCGGTCTAGAAATCTCGACAATAAAAGCTGGTGAGATGAATTGGAGAGTGGCAGGCGGGGCACGAGGACGGATCACGGTCCGCCGGACGGCCGGACCGAGACAAAGGAGAGCGGCTGAGAGAGAAAAGTCGTGACTCCAGAGCTCGTTAGTCCCGGCTCGATCGCAAAGGACCATGACAGGCTTCGAAAGGTTTCCAGCACGCGAATTTAGCAAAGGGAGAGAGAGAAAAAAACACTCACCACTTTTCCCAAAAGAATAGCGCAAAGTCGTCCACAATCAGGACGTTAAAAACTACGCTTTGTTCTCTCTTGACTTTGCATCAGCCTGCAAAACAACATCCCACACAAACCGGTGCACGTTATTTTTAACCAATCATCACGCCCTCAGCCACACCCATTCTGTCGTCACAAAACCCCAACTCACCGATGAATGTGACGGGCCGGCCGACGACGCCCTTGGTGACCTCCTTGACCTTGATGGCGGTGACGTCATAGACCTTGCAGGCGAACGGGCTGCCCGGGATGGGCGTGCCTCCGTACGCCACATGGATGCGGTGCTCGCCGGCCAGCCGGGGACTGAACTCCACCGTCAGGCTGCCGTCGCCGTTGTCTTTGATTTGCGTCGGCACCGGCGGCCCATTGGGGCCTGAACGTCGAGTCGAGTCGGGTCGGGTCATGCCATGGTCGTTATGGGTTCCCTCGTGGTTAGTGCCCCGCGCCGAGCGGTACGATACCGAGCAGCCGCCGGTTAGCGCTGGTGCGCGGTGACCCAGCGCGATTCTGGTCACCGCGCACCTCTCATTTCAACCCAGCACCAATGATAAACCCGACCAGACCAGCATCATAGCCTCCCACCCGTCCGATTTACATCGCTGGGGTCTAACGAGCCAGGGATTGACACGAAACTGATAATCAGGGACGCTATACACGATCCGGTTAACTAAATGCTCCATTATCTCAGAATTTAGGACTGCTGTAGTGATGGGAAGCGTACGTTTAGAGTGGTGGGAACAAAGGCTAGCAAACGAAAGGAGCCCGACCCCTGACCCCACGTGCGACCGGGAGGTCAGAGTTCGATGGAAAACGGCGGTGAAATGAAAGCAAGTGAAATTAAGTTTCGTTGCTCGGTGAAGCGAAAACGGAAGCCGGAGGTCCATCGAAAAGGTCGAGTGTTTTCACGAACCGTTAATTCCAGCGATCTCCCGCTCCCGTGATCGAGCAAAGCAGAACGGATTGCATACAGGTATTTTGCACATGCCACTCATTTCATGCAGCCAAAACATATTAATGAACATCATATGACCAATAAGCAATGTCAGTTGTAAATATGTCATGCACTAACACTAAATCACATGCATTCATTAAGCGTTAGTAAGCAGATGTTAGTGAACTTTAGGGGAACTATAACGACCTGAAAGAGAAAGAGAACAAACTATTAGAAAAAATCTACGGAACAAACAAAACAGACGAATTCGGAGAACTGACTTAGCAGCTGCAAGGCGCTAATAGATTCGTGAAGAGTACGGCACACTATATCTTTTCTGTGCAGGTGATAACGCTGCTGAGGCAACACAGTGAACAATTGGTGCAAAACTAGTGAAACAAAAATAGATAATTCTGTAATATAATGATCTACCCCGAGTGCACCCGTTCAGTGTATATCGGTGATGAAGAAAAACAAGAAAAAAACATTGAATTGGACGAACGCAGAAAGGGTTACCAAGAAAAGACACAATTCAGATCAGTAGAAAGCTGACGATATAGCATGTTCCATAACCCCGCTTTCAAACACAGATATACGACACTGCTGACAAAGCCTTACCAAAACACGTAGCTCACACCACGATACACGTCCCAAGTTACGTCCCAATCAACGTCTTAAATCACGTCCCCCAAACGTTTATAGCACGTGTCAGTACTCACCATCGACGTTGACCTCGACCTCTTCGACGTTTCCAGAGACGTTGCTCAGCGTGAAATAGGACGACTTGCCAACGGCAGTCGAGGCGAGAGACGCGCCTTTGACCACGATGTGGTTCGGATCGGACTGTACGTGTGCTACGAACGGAGAGCCTGCCGAACAGAGAGGGAGAGACGGTCATGTTACAAGCTAACTCAGATGTGCTAAAATAGGTAGTAGCCGAGGCCGTATGAAAGGTTTTTAGAATTGTTTCATTTTTGTAAAACGAAGTTTCTATAACTCCAATGTTTGTTGACATGTCGTTAAAGAGCGCGGATTGTGGGTTATAAAAGATGAAAGTAACAGCTAAGCTATCACGGAATAATCACGTATAGAAATCTGAGACACCAATAGCCAGTTCGGGAAATCAAAGGCAGGGCTGCGGAGTCGATGGATTTTAGGGTGACTCCGAATCCGACTCCGACTCCGGCTTTAAAAATCTACTCCGACTCCGACTCCAGCTCCGACTCAGACTCCGGACGGTTCTATTAAAATCCATATCGTGCAATACTGAAGCTCATAATATAGGTAGTAAACTGGGAACCATGCCATTTGAAGTAATTGTGAGCACATGTATGAAGTTTTATTCACAACAAGCAATTCAAGATGCAAAAGATGTGCTCTGGGGCGAACTTATCACTAAGGCGTTTCCATCGCGCAAAGATCTCCGGAACATTAAAAGAAAGGTCTCCAGTGGCGGAATGAAAGAGAAAGCAGACATGGAAGATATCCTTAAAGCTCTGCAAGTCTGTGATAGAGAGGGGGTGCCTGTTCCCCAGTTCTACGCCACCGACCTGGGAAACCTTCCTCCCTCTACTTGCGATGATACAGGCATGGCTCTGGTCTTGAGCCAGCTCACTGCCATGCAGAGTGAGATGTGTCAACTACGTGAGGCTGTTCAAGCTCTAAAAGATAGCTCGCCTCAGCAAGCAGCAACATGGGCACAGGTAGTGCGATCTCAAACTGATTCGTCATCAGCTGAAGCTGGCATGTCAACTGAAGCCGGGCCACAGCAGCAGCGCGGTGCCTCTCACGCTGGAGAGACTCGACCCCTGCAGCAGCAACCGCAGCAGCAGCAGCAAGCGCATCAACAGGGCTCAGCTAGACAGACGCGTCAGTGTTCTGCGTCTCAGGGACAACAGCTCCAACCCCAACTGCTTCAGGAGCCGCGGCCCCAGGAGCTACAGCTGCAGTCGCAGCAGCAGCGGCGTCAGCAGCAGAACCAACAGCAGCAGAATCAGCCCACGGTTATCCGTGACCAGGTTCCGCAACCGTTGGTGGACGCTGATGGTTTTACTCAAGTGGTAAGGGCCAAACCAAGAAGACGGCAAATAGTTACAGGCTCCGCAGCATCAGGTCAGTTTGGTCTGAAAGGTGTAGCTCCTCCGCCGAGAAAGGTGGACCTCTTCGTGGGGCGTCTAGATCCGTCTACCACTGAACAGGGTGTAGCGACCCACGTAGACTTTATCATTGGGGGTGCTGGCATTGCGGAGGTTAAGGAGATACCGCACTGCCTAGCTGCATACGGGTATAAGGGGTATGTCGTGTCGGTGCCAATGCAGTGTCGAGATGTCGTCCTGGCCGGAGACAAATGGCCCGCCCATGTGTCTCTGAAAAAGTACTTCCCTCCTAAACGTGTCCAGGATGGTCCTGGTGCTAGTCTTGCGCCGCCCCGTGAGCCTCTCGGTCGGCAAAGACTGACGAGAAGCAGGAGCGTGAGCGACGTGGCCACTGGTCGTGTTTAGTCTCGGCCTCCATGCTCAAAATATGTAGTCTAAACTGTCATTCATTGAAAAGCTCTGCACCTGACATAAGGTCACTATGCAATGACTATGACATTGTGTTCCTGCAAGAAACCTGGTTAGCTACTTTTGAGCTTCCAATGCTGAACATCATGCATGACAATTTTTTGGGCATAGGTGTATCGGCCATGGACTCTTCGGCCAGCTTACTCAGAGGAAGACCATACGGCGGGCTGGCTATATTGTGGAAAAAGTGCATTCAGCCTTCCATTAAGGTTAGTGTTATTGATAAGCGGATAATGCGTCTTGATATTGAAACAAATGCAGGTTTGGTTTGTCTCTTTAATGTATATCTCCCGACTGATTACGGTAACCATGATTGCTTAGATGATTTCTGTATGTTCCTTGGTCAACTCAGTTGTACGCTGAATCAACAGCGTCACCGCTCGAACTTGTTGGGAATTATTGGTGATCTTAATGCCAACAGTCGTGGCTCTCGGTTCTTCACAGAACTACTCGAGTTCTGCGCAGAAGAGGGCTTATTCACTTCCGATATGTGCTTTCTAGGACCCTCCACGGACAACTATACATTTCTAAGCGCGGCACATGGCACAACTTCCTGGCTGGACCATTGCTTATGCAGCCCCACCCTGCATCATTTAATCAATGCTGTAGAGATACGCTTCGACATTTGTATGAGTGACCATTTGCCTTTAGCTGTCACATATAACTTAAGACCCTGCCGGCTTACTCCATCAAGTCTGTCCGCTCAGTGTGCGCCTTCTCTCAACTGGAGATCTGTTTCCGTCGAGGATTTGTCTCGTTACAACGCTGAAATTCGCAATTGCCTGCCTTCGTACGATGCAGCCGTTGCAGAGATCCATCCCAACTGTCAGTCTGACTGTAACGTAACAGAACACGCGTATGCTTTGGCCGGTATGTATGATTACGTTACTCATGTAATTGTCCGCGCTGGAAACAGGTGCATCAAAAGGCATCCAATGGCACATCCAAAGAGCACACCCGGCTGGAATGGGTCTGTGCGTGCCGAGTATGTAGCGTCTCGCGGTGCCTTTCTTAATTGGCGTGCCGGTGGCTCTCCCAGGACAGGTGCTCTCTTTTCCCGAATGTCACTGGCACGTTCATCGTTTAAATACGCCCTACGCCGCTGCAAAAGGGAACGTGAGGTCTTGCTGGCCAATCAGTTGGGTGAGGCTCTTTACTGTCAGCCAGATAATCGTTTCTGGGTTCTTGTCAGGAGGCACCTCGGTGGTGGCAGCCCCGCGGTGTCTAGCTTTGGAGAGGTGACCGAGAGCTCTAACATTGTTAGGATGTGGAAGGACCACTATTCAGAAATCTTTAACGACCACAGTTGTGGCAGTGACCAGCAGTATCTGGACCAGCTTTACAGTACACCATCAGATGATCTCCCCGAAATCAGTTATGATGAGATCAGTGCTGCTATAAATAAGCTTAAAAATGGCAAGTCCCCAGGCTGGGACGGTCTATCCCCTGATCATCTCCTTCATCTGGATGGCGATATTAAGCAAATATTTGTGCTATTATTCCGCAGCTTTGTCAGCCATGCTTGTGTTCCAGAAAGTTTGATGCATTCGATTATCGTACCCTTAGTTAAAAATAAGGGCGGTGCTTTGGATGATAAGTCGAACTATCGGGCCATTGCCCTCTCAACGAGTGTATCTAAAGTACTGGAACTAGTTCTACATGAAAGGCTAGCACCATACCTCCACACGAGCGACGCACAGTTTGGTTTTAAAGATAGTCATTCAACGACCCATGCTACTTTTGTGCTCAAGGAAGTGATCAATTATTATAATGTACTTGGCAGTCCAGTGTATGCATGTTTCCTGGATGCGAGAAAAGCTTTTGACCGTGTTTCGTACTCAAAGCTGTTTGGTATTTTGACCGACCGTGGCGTGCCTTCACAATACCTCAAACTGTTGCTGTACTGGTACAGGATGCAGACATTGGGTGTTAAATGGGACGGTCTTATCTCCGAAAAATTTCATGCTGGCAATGGCGTTAGGCAGGGGGGCATCCTCTCTCCGTTGTTATTTAGTGTGTACGTTGACGCCATTCTGTGTAAAGTGCGAGAAATGAGTGTTGGTTGTCGCGTAGGTGCATGTGCAACAAACATTTTGGCATACGCTGATGACATTGTGCTTCTGGCCCCCACGAGGGAAGCGTTGCAGACAATTGTAAATGAGTGCAATAGGCAAGCTCATCTTCTCGACGTTGAATTTAACCCCCTTAAATCTGTGTGTATGCAATTTCTCCCTCGAAAACCGTACTCGGCCACTCATCTGGTTAATTCCAGACCTCCTTCGTTGCTACTTTCTGGCCAGCAGTTAAGATGGGTGACGTCTTTTAAGTACCTGGGTCATGTAATTCGTGATGATCTGCGCGACATCGATGACATGCGCCGTGTTAAGAGAGCGCTTTATACCAATGTAAACATGCTATCAGCAGCTATTGGCTTTGCCGACAAAAGTGTACTGACGAAGCTCTTCAAATCGTACTGCACCAACCTGTATGGATGTGAGCTCTGGAATGTGTATCGTGACCAGCAAACGTTTCGAGAGTTGTGTATAGCATACCACAGTTGTCTCAAGAAGCTTGTCAAAGTCCCTCGGTGGAGTAGGAATCATGATCTGTGTCACGATCTTCACATGCTGACCTGCCCAATGCAAATCACCTATCGCCAGTTAGTCTTTTGGCTTCGACTCTCACAGGCCTCTAACACACTGATTGTGGCCTTGCTAGCCAGTTCCATCGGGAGCAACGGCTTGTCTGCCCGTATGCATACAAAACATCGCCATAAGTACGACTTGCTGAATCTCAACTTATATGCCACTTCGTCGCCAGATCTATTCAATGTTTTTGTTGCACACATAGAAAGATTCGTTATGGAACGACGCAACCGTGTCTTATGACCATGGTGCATCTCTCTGAGGAAAGAGCACCTGGTTTGTGCATTGGTTGTTTGGTGGTGTGTCTGTGTGTGTTTGTTTTAGTGTATGGCTTATATGTACCACTTATGGTATGAAATAAAAATGTATTATTATTATTATAATGGATATGTTTTATCTTGCCTGAAACGATCCTTTGTGCGTTCCAGGGCTTTGCGTTGCAAATATGCATAAAAACAATATTCAGAATTAACTAGCAGGTTCTGGGGAATTCACCGTCTTCTGCTTCTTTCACTGAAAACGTTCGTCCAAAACAGCGAAGTGGTCATTTTTTCGACGAAATCTAATTTCGAGAGCAGTATCGTCAATTCAACAGGTGCAGTGCATGACGTGAAGCCATGCAGCGTTAACTCCGACTCCGGAGTCGGAGTCGGTAAGATTTTGGCGACTCCGAGTCCGACTCCGACTCCGGGCAGAATTGTCGACTCCGACCGACTCCAACTCCGACTCCGACTCCGACTCCGCAGCCCTGATCAAAGGTATGCCAGCCATTCCGCCCATCGGTAGGCATTTGCCACCTGTTAACTGTTCTGTGCCAATGGCTTTTAATCTATTCTAAGACTTAATTAATTTAATCAATCTAAGACTTCCCACGAACCATCAACAAGTGGTGTACAAAGCAGCGTCGTACCAAGTTCCTTCAATCACCCATTGTAACTGTTTCTTGGTCACAGTCCCGCTAACAACATCACCCTCAACATCCCCAATGTAACCAACATAATACATCATTACCCCATTTTCGTTAACGACCATCGGCCGACCATTGGATCATCTATCGACCGTTCTAGCGGCGCCAGTCATCACTATCATATTTCGGCCCGCTTTGGTGGTTGGTCGCGTGTCCGAACCAGCCTCCTTGGACGGAAACGGTACCGCTGACGGTCGCCCTCCCCTCCCCGTGCCGGTGTTCCGGTCATTTGCCACAGAACAATCGCTGAAGGAGTGCGGTCTCCTACCACAATGGCGACAGTGGCGTGCCATTCCGGAGCTCTATTGTTCGACAGCTGGCCAAATGAGGAAAAAAGGCTAAAAGATGGATTTTGTAAGCGTGAAAATTAATTAGACACTGTCATAGCTAAGCAAAATCACGGACGCCGCTCATAAAATAATGATCTTACTGGGTTTGAAGGGTGTGCAACTGTGTTAAATTGGGTTGTTCAGCAGTTTCAATCACAGTAAGAAAAGATCGCTTATTATCTACATTTGTCATTCGTCATTCACACATATGCCTATCGACTGGCTACGATGTTTCTCATATAACGTGTATCGCTCCATCATTCCTTATACACGCTTATTTCCAAACCACCTCTGAACTACGACCAACTCCACGGACGCACCGATTCTCCAAGCGTTACTCACCGGGGATGGGCTCCTTGTTGAAGGAAATGCTGATGTTGTGATCGACGGGCTCGAGCGGCACGAAACTGACGCCGAATCGCGCCGAGCCCTGCGGGTGCACCTGGGTGGGGATGTTGCGCCCTCCTGCGCTGATCGATATCTCCAGGTTACCCTCCCCGGCCTCGCTAGCATCCACTGTGAACAGAAAGTCGGATCACCGCGGTCAGATGGAGCCCAGAGCACATAGCACTTTCACACGAAGCGCGAATATCACCCACTTGATATCGCATACGTCAGAAGTGTAGCATCGTCATGGACGTAATTATGGATGGAGCGTATATAGGAAAATCGATTGCGATTTAGATGTCGTGGCGGATGTCACTTTCAACGATAGACATGTACGTTTTCCTGTTGTAATGTGCGATAGGTTATGTGCCTGGTATATCCAGTCACCTAACACCCCACATAACGACCCTTTTTCCCGAACACAAAGAACTCCATTACACTATATTTTCCCGGTATTTACCCATCACTACTTGCCGCTCTCGTCCATAACCCAGCCTCCCCGTCACTAAAAACCCGTACACTTTCCCAGGCGTCTGTAACAGCCGCCGGCGTTGGGCAGCCCGGCCTCGAAGGCAGACAGGCGGTTGGGCAGGCGGTCGGTTGGCAGCTGTTTTTGTGGTGAGCGGGCCAGGCGAGGCGCGCCGAACAGCCCGGCTGGACCGGAAGGCGGTGGCACATGCCCGCGGAGCGCCCAGGCGGTAACGGGATCGGACGGCCGTCGAGGGACGGCGGCGGATGACGGAGACTGGGTGGGGCTTCTCAGAGAGTGGACACTGAGTGGACTGGAGCCAAGGAGAGACTGATGACTGATCCACGAGAGAAAGACTGGGGACTAAAGGGAGACTGAATTAGACGGGGTGAGTGGGATTGGCAAAGACCTCTGTATACCGAGACCTATGGATTGGGTGACATCAATTTTCATAATCCAGCCAATTTAATCAAATGATGCAGACTGACGGATTTTCTGACCTCAACTTCAACGTCACCGACCACCCGTATCCCACGCAGTTTTTACCAGCCGCCTGTCACATCCCTCTCCTCCTCTCCCATCCCCTTCCCCACAGCGGACTGCAGGTGATTTTCGCGAGCGTCATACGGGCGGTGTTTGATGGGCCTCCAATGGGGCAGCCCCAGCCATCAGACGAGGAATGGAGGGGAAAGGGGCGGGGTTTATGGCAGGACCGGCGGGGCGGGAGGGCCAGAATGAACCATTGTTTATAGACTCGCAACAGACTGGTCAGTCTGGAGCGAGACAGCCAAGGCCGTCAGCGAGCGACTGATACCTCGCTGGGTCATTATTTCATGCATGGGCTAGGATGTCAGTTTCCTATTATATAATAAGGTATATACTGTTGCTTCTTGAGAATGACGTTGGAGTTCGTGAAATGTAGGTGTGAAATGCCAATATCCAGATGTTTCGTATATTTAGCTAACATTTCTAACTAAAAAGACCATGCAGCACGTTTGAAAGAGATGCATGAAACATTGACCTATAATAAGTATTATAGGTCAATGGCATGAAACCTATAAATTTCATAACCTAGGTAGACCACCATTATTTCTCATTGTTGGCTCTCGACGGCATGATTTGTTTATAAGCATCGCACTGGGACTAGAATAGCCAGGATAAGGGATCCTGGGAATAACCGGCCGCGTTATTTATGTGAGAGCGTTGATCTAAGAGCGTCCAGCTCGGGGACGATTAGACCCAGTTCACTGGCGCTGCTGCGCTCACGTGAATGGAATGTAAAACTGCCCGCCGCTGATCTCAGCACTGCCTAACAGAGCGGTAACATGCACGCGAGGCCTGTTTGGTACGGCTGAGGCGCACCTAGTCTGAACCGGCCGACGGCAGGGCCCCTCCTCTGCTAGCTAAAGTAGATAGGAAAAAAACGCCGACCCGAAATTGCGCGCCATGTGTGCTTAGGGGCATCGGTACTGGGAAGGTTCTGTATGATGAAAGCCTGATGTAACAATGCTGGACGTTCTTAACTAACGTCATATGACACTCAAAGCGCGTTACATAACATTCGTAATAAAGTTGACTAGTCCACGTCGTAGTAGGGGACTAATGGCATGAGTTTAAACCAATTTGTAACAGTTCCACTGTTAAAAGTAGAAATGCGAAATGAGGTTAGTAGCCGAAATGAGGTTCACCCATAACAACTTGTAGGTAGGTACGGAAAATGCGCAAAATATCACACAGCAACGAGTGTGTCGTCATCGAGGGAGCATGCAACGGTTATAGCTTATCCCCCAACCCCACCCCACCTCCTCCTCACGAGCAACCCACCTGTGAACTGGAGGCTCTTGCCGATGGCGCCCTTGGGCATGCTGGTGACGGTGACGCGTCCCGTGTCGTACACCTTGCACGTGAACGGCGTACCGCTGACGGGCGCGCCGTTATACTCGACCAGCACCGTGTGGGCGCCCACCTCCAGCGGGGTGAACTCGGCCGTGAAGCCACTGCGCACATTGCCCGTCACCTTGACGGGGAGTGTAGAGTGCGCCGGTCCTCGGACCGACACGGCCAGCTCGGCGTTCCCTCCGCCGTCGATATGGATGAGGAAGCTGGCCGGCTGGCGCACCGGCAGCAGCTCCAGGTGGCGCAGGTTCACCGTGACCCGCGAGCTGCCCTGCACACGGCACACGAACGGACAGCCGGGCACCGGCTCGCCGTTGAACTTGATGTCGATGGTGTGTGTCTTGGGCATCTCTGGTGTGAAGGTGACCAGGCACCGGCCGCCGCCCAGCACCTGCACGTGGTTGGGCACCTCGCCCTCGTTGATGGAGATCTCCAGCTGGCCCTCGCCGGCCTGGCTGGCATCCACTGCAGAGGAGGATAGACAGAGGTGTCACAGAGCTGTCCCAGTCTCGCCAGCTGCCTCAGGTATGAACTATTCTTAGCAGTGGATACCGCAATGTGTAACGGCTAATTTCCTTATGGGATTAAATCATGCTAATTAGCACAGCCGGAAAACGTAAGACACGACTTCCAGTGACATTTATACTTTCAGGTATTAGAGAACTAGGTAAACGGCATATTTCCCTCACGGGATATGCAAAACAATATGCAGTCCTTGTCGGTTCAAAAGCCTGGAGGTTCTCATCTACGGCACAATCAGCTGTGTCCCTGCCCTTCCTAAAAAACCTAAAGTATCCCTTGACACTTACCTCTGAACTGGCAGGTCTGGCCTACCACTCCGGTAGGAACGTCCGACACCCGAATCAGTCCCGCGTTGTATGCCTTGGATACAAACGGGCTGCCGGGTATCTGTGACAAACAGAACGCAACAGTCGGTCTTAGGACGGCGCAACTCGCAGAAACGTGCCGCCAAACGTACAGTAAACACTGCATAACACATGTGTAACGCACAGCGCACAGTCGGAACGTTTGAACGGCGTTGTCGGCGCGATAGGCTGATAGTCCATTCAAACATCAAGCGGACTAGCTCCAAAATGCACTGTTGTCAAACGCAGATATGTGTTTCATTGTAACAAGGATATAAAAAAGTCGCGCTGTGTTAATAATCTATATTATAAATCCTAAAAAGTCCGCCGCCCACTACGTCGGGGTTACTCCCAAAAACGGCAATTGCAAAGCCGTCGATTGACGCAGGACGGTGAAATTTTTACCACTCGTGGGTCACGTAAATGAACAGGTCGTATTAAATTTTGGGCACGATGCGGCCGGGGGTGTGCCCGTGGCGCGTGCTCATGTGCGCCATAGGGTTAGCATTAGAATCGGCAAAAACAGGCTATTGCTCGGGAACGGTGAGGGCTACGGGGGTGAAATTTTCACGCCAAGTCGAGCGCGTGCACTCATTTGTCGTATTAAATTTTCGACGGTGTGGGTTCAGCGGTGTGCACGTGATGGGGCCGCGACCGGTGCCGAGCAGAAGGCACGTGCTTTAGGCTCAGTTTCTTCGCTTGCAGAACTGAGCGAAATCAGAGCCGGAAGGTCATTGACCTTTGACAACGAATACCGGCGCCGGGCACCGCTCGCCAAGGGGATTCACCAGTAAATACAATAAATTTGTTTTTGCAATATCTCAGCCGTTTCTGGGCCGATTTCGCTGAAACTTGGACTGTCAGTGGTAGTGTAGGGTAGGGTAGGGTAGGGTAGGGTAGGGTAGGGGTAGTAGTAGGGTAGGGTAGGGTAGGGTAGGGTGGGGTAGGGTAGGGTAGGGTAAGGTAGGGAAGGGTAGGATGAGGTAGGGTAGGGTAGGGTTGGGTAGTGTAAGGGTAGGGTAGGGTAGGGTAGGGTAGGGGTAGGGTAGGGGTAGGGTAGGGGTATTGTAGGTTAGGGTAGTGTAGGGGTAGGGTAGGGTAGGGTAGGGTAGGATAGGGCAGTGTAGGGTAGGGTAAGGTAGGGTAGGGTAGGGTAGTGTAAGGGTAGGGTAGGGTAGAGTAGGGTAGGGTAGGGTAGGGGTAGGGTAGGGTAGTGTAGGAGTAGGGGTAGAGGTAGGGGTAGGGTAGGGTAGGGTAGGGTAGGGTAGGGTAGGGTAGGGTAGTAGGGTAGGGTATGGTAGGGCAGGGTAGGGTAGGGTAGGGTAGAGTTAGGTAGGGTAGGGTAGGGTAGGGTAGTAGGGTAGGGTATGGTAGGGTAGGGTAGGGGTAGGGTAGGGTAGGGTAGGGGTAGGGTAGGGTAGGGTAGGGTAGGGTAGGGTAGGATAGGGTGGGGTAGGGTAGGGTAGGGTAGTGTAGGGGTAGGGGTAGGGTAGGGTAAGGTAAGGTAGGGTAGGGTAGTGTAGGGTAGGGTAGGGTAGGGTAGGGTAGGGTATGGTAGGGTAGGGTAGAGTAGGGTTGAATTGAGTAACATCCTAACTTACAAAGGGCTCGAACAACTCGCATGCATCACCATCATACTTTACAGTTCAATTAAAAGTGCAGTCACCCAGTTCTTCACAAATAATACCAATAAAAATGCAAGTTTCTACACCCAAACTAATGCATCCGATAATCATACATATCAAAACATACAGTTATCGCGTAAACCTGTACCTCTAGTATACTGTAAAACATATTTGCACGTTTCGAGTCATTCTGGCAAATCTCACTAACCAAATGCGTGTAAACTTTGTATTTACACACTGCATCCCGAAGTTTATAACGCATTTGGCTAATGATATTTGCCTGGATAACATGTGCACGTTGTGCAAATCTCGGCAGAAGCTTGTGAAGCTTACTCACATTTTGCGTGTAAGCGTGTTTTCTTCTGTGTGTGTTATGGAACACCGAAGTTAGTTATCCTGCAACTAGGCAATGCCTAGTTGCATGATAACTAACTTCGGTGTTACATAACACGCACAAAAGGAAACACGCTTACACGCAAAATGCTAGTCTATATTATAAATCCTAAAAAGTCCGCCGCCCACGCCTACGTCGGGGTTACTCCCAAAAACGGCAATTGCAAAGCCGTCGATTGACGCAGGACGGTGAAATTTTGACGACTCGTGGGTCACGTCATTCAACAGGTCGTATTAAATTTTGGGCACGATGCGGCCGGGGGTGTGCCCGTGGCGCGCGCTCACGTGGTGTGCCATAGGGTTTACACTAGAATCGGCAACAGGCTATTGCTCGGGAACGGTAAGGGCTACGGGGGCGAAATTTTCGCTGTAAGTCGGACGCGTGCACTCATTTGTCGTATTAAATTTTCGAGGGTGTGGGTTCAGCGGTGTGCACGTGATGGGGCCGCGACCGGCGCCGAGCAGAAGGCACGTGCTTTAGGCTCAGTTGTTCGCTTAAAAACTGACTGGAAATAATCAGAGCCGGGAGGTCATTGACCTTTGACAACGAAGGCCGACACAAGGCACCGCTCGCCAAGGGGATTCGCCAGTAAATACGATAAATTTGTGTTTGCAATATCTCAGCCGTTTCTGGGCCGATTTAGCTGAAACTTGGACTGTCGGTTGGTAGTGTAGGGTAGGGTAGTGTAGGGTAGGGTAGGGTAGGGTAGCGTAGGGTAGGTTAGGGTAGGGGATTGTAGGGTAGGTTAGGGTAGGGTAGGGTAGGGGATTGTAGGGTAGGGTAGGGTAGAGTAGGGTAGAGTAGGGTAGGGTAGGGTAGGGTAGAGTAGGGTAGAGTAGGTTAGGGTAGGGTAGTGTAGGGGTAGGGTAGGGTAGGGTAGGTTAGGGGTAGGGTAGGGTAGTGTAGAGTTAGGGGTAGGGTAGGGTAGGGTAGGGGTAGGGGTAGGATAGGGTAGGGGTAGGGTAGGATAGGGTAGGGGTAGGGTAGGATAGGGTAGGGCAGGGGTAGGGTAGTGTAGGGTAGTGTAGGGGTAGGGTAGGGTAGGGTAGGGTAGGGTCGGGTAGGGTAGGGTAGGGTATGGTAGGGTAGGGTAGGGTAGGGTAGGGTAGGGTAGTATAAGGGTAGGGTATGGTAGGGTACGGTAGGGTAGGGTAGGGTGGGGTAGGGTAGGGGATTGTAGGGTAGGGTAGGGTAGGGTAGGGTAGGGTAGGGTAGGGTAGGGTAGGGTAGGGTAGTGTAGGGGTAGGGTAGGGTAGGGTAGGGGTAGGGTAGGGTAGGGTAGGATAGGGTAGGGTAGGGTAGGGTAGGGTAGGGTAGGGTATGGTATGGTAGGGTAGGGTAGGTTAGGGTAGTGTAGGGGTAGGGGTAGGGTAGGGTAGGGTTGAATTAAGTAACATCCTAATCTTACAAAGGGCAACAACTCGCATGCATCACCATCATACTTTACAGTTCAATTAAAAGCAGTTACCCAGTTCTACACAAATAATACCAGCAAGTTTCTACACCCAAACTAATGCATCCGTTAATCATACATATCAAAACATACAGTTATCGCGTAAACCTGTACCTCTAGTCTATATTATAAATCCTAAAAAGTCCGCCGCCCACGCCTACGTCGGGGTTACTCCCTAAAAGGCTTATTGCGGCGCCGTCGATTGACGCAGGAGGGTGAAATTTTTACCACTCGTGGGTCACGTCATTCAACAGGTCGTATTAAATTTTGGGCACGATGCGGCCGGGGGTGCGCCCGTGGCGCGCGCTCACGTGGTGTGCCATAGGGTTTACACTAGAATCGGCAACAGGCTATTGCTCGGGAACGGTAAGGGCTACGGGGGCGAAATTTTCGCTGTAAGTCGGACGCGTGCACTCATTTGTCGTATTAAATTTTCGAGGGGGTGGGTTCAGCGGTGTGCACGTGATGGGGCCGCGACCGGCGCCGAGCAGAGGGCACGTGCTTTAGGCTCAGTTTCTTCGCTTGCCAGAACTGAGCGAAATCAGAGCCGGGAGGTCGTTGACCTTTGGCAATGAATACCGACGCCGGGCACCGCTCGCCAAGAGGATTCGCCAGTAAATACAATTAATTTGTTTTTGCAATATCAATATCTCAGCCGTTTCTGGGCCGATTTAGCTGAAACTTGGACTGTCGGTGGTAGTGTAAGGTAGGGTAGTGTATGGTAGGATAGGGTATGGTAGGGTAGGGTAGGGTAGGGTAGGGTAGGGTAGGGTAGGGTAGGGTAGGGTAGGGTAGGGTAGGGTAGGGTAGGGTAGTGTAAAGGTAGGGTAGGGTAGGGTAGGGTAAGGTAGGGTAGGGTAGGGTAGTGTAGGGGTAGGGTAGGGTAGGGTAGGGTAGGGTAGTGTAAGGGTAGGGTAGGGTAGGGTAGGGTAGGGTAGGGTAGGGGATTGTAGGGTAGGGTAGGGTAGGGTAGGGTAGGGGATTGTAGGGTAGGGTGTAGGGTAGGGGATTGTAGGGTAGGGTAGGGTAGGGTAGGGTAGGGGATTGTAGGGTAGGGTAGAGTAGGGTAGGGTAGGGTAGGGTAGTGTAGGGGTAGGGTAGGGTAGGGTAGGGTAGGGTAGGGTAGGGTAGGGTAGGGTAGTGCAAGGGTAGGGTAGGGTAAGGTAGGGTAGGGTAGGGGATTGTAGGGTAGGGTAGGGTAGGGTAGGGTAGGTTAGGGGATTGTAGGGTAGGGTAGAGTAGGGTAGGGTAGGGGTAGGGTAGGGTAGTGTAGGGGTATGGTAGGGTAGGGTAGGGGATTGTAGGGTAGGGTAGGGTAGGGTAGGGTAGGGTAGGGTACTGGGTAGTGTAAGGGTAGGGTAGGGTAGGGTAGTGTAGGGGTAGGGGTAGGGTAGGGTAGGGTAGGGTAGGGTAGGGTAGTGTAAGGGTAGGGTAGGGTAGGGTAGGGTAGGGTAGTGTAGGGGTAGGGGTAGGGGTAGGGGTAGGGGTAGGGTAGGGTAGGGTAGGGTAGGGTAGGGTAGGGTAGGGTAGGGTAGGGTAGGGTAGGGTTGAATTGACTTACAAAGGGCTCGAACAACTCGCATGCATCACCATCATACTTTACAGTTCAATTAAAAGCAGTTACCCAGTTCTACACAAATAATACCAATAAAAATGCAAGTTTCTACACCCAAACTAATGCATCCGTTAATCATACATATCAAAACATACAGTTATCGCGTAAACCTGTACCTCTAGTAATTGTAGCTTAACGATAACTGTATTGATGATGCCTTTTTTGCGTGGTTTAGAAGGATTCCAACCACCAAGGTATCGTTTCGACTTAATTGCTGTTAGCTAAAAGTGAAATAAAACTTTCCTGTCTGAAATTCGACAGAATAGATGTAGGTACAACTACGAACACGAATCCCAGTGACTGGCTAACCTCGACCCAACACTGGAAACCCAGTTTCTATTGTGACGGTTTGAACTACCGTGGCACCTCCTCCATTCAGCACAAACGGTCCGTGGACGGCACGGGACCCTCTCTCCCTCTCTCCCCCTGTTATGTGTGACGTCACACTTTCATGACGTGACTTCATCAGTCATGGGCAAACTTCCTGCTTATAACGTCACTCGCCAAATACAGGATACATGTCGCTAATGCCATACACCCCAACTTATAGAAGTTAGGGTGGTACCCTAACTTATAGAACGCTCCAACCACTAATAACACATCGTTCATCTAATCACATCTGAAGTCATGCATCACGTCTATGATCACACCACTCATGACGTCACGACGTCACATATTACGTCACTCCTGACGTCACTCACCGGTTGTCCGTCAACGTTGACATTGATGACATGACTGCCCACTTCTGAGGCGTTGAACTGACATTTGAAGATTCCGCTGCCCTTCTCTGTCAGTGTGAACGGAACCGTCCGTTTGGACGGACCTGTCGGAGTAGAGAGAAACGCTGCGTTAGCATGACGCACAGATGTTTCTGAGCACACAGCATGAAAGGCATGTGGAGTGTGCTGGAAAAGAAATGAGGAAGTGGCATTCTGCGTTCATTTAGAGATATTTCCGTGACATGAAGCAGTTTTAAAGTATATAGTTCCGCGAACTAACCCCGCAATGCTGTGGAATTTGCTGTTCACCGGGTAACACGAGCCAACAATTGGATTTGAGCAGTACACGACATGTTTACTCCCGTTCTGGAGGATTTCCTCCCCAGATTTCCTCTCACATTGCTAGCGAGTTGAGTCACACACAGCGAAATGATGATCGGACCCAACAGCAAAAGGGTTAGGTACATCACGCGACACAGTAATTGACAGGGGAGTGGAGATCTGTTACCTATACTTTTACCAAACAACAAAAACACGACACTCGTCAATGTATCTCTTGGTGCAGTTTGTGTCCTTGTGATCGATCTCAGATTGAAAGCGATCCTTCCATTAGCGGTGCACCTTTGTTGTAAGCGATATTAGCAGCCACACTGCACAGTGCACATGCCTATCCAATTTCAGCAGGTGGGCTGCACTGCACACTGCACATATCCGTCCAATTTGGGCGCGGGCCCCGCCCGCTGCGACATGGCGCCGCAGCTGATCAGACTGCTGACCAGACCATATCAGCCGGGCACTGTCACGGCTTTTACAGCTCGCCTCACGAACGGAGCGCACTCGGCCAGCGGGGTGCCAGTTTTCCTCAACGAAAGCATTCAAAGTATGCTAGCGGAGCCCGTTTAGAATTACTAAAGCTGGATTGGCCAGCCGTGTCAAAAGCCGACACAGGTGACAAAAGTGTGTTACAGAGTTGTAGCGACATTCCAACGCTTCTACAAGGGGCACGTGCAGACCTTGTTCATTTGCTGCGATTTTTTCTGTCAAGCACTTTGGCTCCTGACAAAGAATTTCGCAGGAATGTCCTCGGTTTCTACATGACTTGCACCGCTCTCGTTCTCCTATTCACTTCTTTGTTATATCCACGAAATTGCTAGCAATCTTGATACCCATTACCAAGGAAAGACGCTCATGATGCCGGATATTGGACTAAGTCTAATAACAGTATACAAGCAGCAGTAGCGACAGCGGCAGCGGTGGCGGCAGCGGCAGCGGCGGCGGTTCACCGGAAGAAAAACGCCGGCCGACCGTTCCGCCCGGCGCCGCGGCGGAGGCGGCGTCGACCTTGCCCCGGCGCCGACTCCGTGACACCACCACGCCGGATGTACGGCCACAAACGGCCGCACGTGTCGTGACCGACGCACGTAACGCTCGCCACGGGCCGCGCCGTCTCGTCGGTGAAAGTGGCGAGAGGCCGTCCGCTCAGCCGGCTGCGCTACCGGCGCGTCCGCCGGCGGCTACCATCTGCCGTATGCAGGCCGGTCTCTAGCCAGATGTGCAGGTGTTTGGCTGTTTCATTTCACTTCATGGAATATCATTAATTGGAAATTTAACAAGCGAAACTTGCAGCATGCGTAAGCTCAAGTCAGGACATGTGACAAACTTGTGGGAGAAATAATTCATTGTCAAAGTCCTTTTCCATTTACCTCCTAAAACACAATATTTATTGATTTTTCATCTAGTTATGTGTTTCAATGAAATGGTGTCCACTATTTCGTCTTTGGACTTCTGGTCTGCATGCTCGCCAATGTGATCTAATTTACCAAATCATGGCAATCTTCAATGATAATTATGTTATCTCGCTGAACCAATAGCCCGCATATTGATCTTTTTCAACAATAATTGTTATACCGTTAGCTGAACGTTCGAACATTCCTTCTACAATCGCCATCCACAGTAGCGTGATATTACGTTTCTACATCACAGAAACGGTATCAGATTGAAACGGATTTTCCCTTTGATATGCGTCAGACATGGCTGCTTGCATTCCCAAAGGAATTATACCGACTGAGACCATTTGTACGTACGAGGACCCGCTGGCACATTCAACAGATCGGCGATCGCATAAGAGGTATAGCATATATGATGTAAGATTTTTTTTTTTTTTTGCTCGTTAGCGTAAAGCTGGTGCCGCTATATACAAAAGTTAACATATATCTAATCACAGCCACTTGCAATAAATGAAACGGTACACCAAGTTTCTGAACTCCGTGCAAGCGCAGGCTGAAGCTTTCAACCAATTTATAAAAACAATTCGGCCAACTGCTTTATAATAATCGGCGACCCCACCCTGAACTCTTCGACTTACTCTCGGGATCGTAGTTCGTAAGACTATTGGCCTTAATTACCACATTAGCTACGACAATACGGAAAAAGTTCACGTGGCTGGCCAGGTCTCGACCACAACAAACTAAACATCAATCAAAAAAAAAAAAAAAACGACACCGAACGCGGCACTAACCAACACCCTCAACAGAGGCCTGTTACTCCGGCCCACAACCTCGACAGAGTTCTGTTACTCACCGAAAACCTCAACAGAGGTCTGCTACTCACCGACAACCTCCACAGTCCACAGAGGCCTGCTACTCACCGACAACATCGACAGGGAGGTCTGTTACTCACCGATAACATTGACAGAGAAATATCTGTTACTCACCGACAACATCGACAGAGAGGTCGGCCTTGCTCCTGCCCGGCGCCGCGATGTCAATCGAGGCCGGCTTGTTGGCTGGGAAGTGTTTGAGGTGCTCCCCCATCACCTGTAGACCTCCGGACGCGTCCATCGCGCCCACGTCCACCTCCCACGGCGAGCCTGGGGGTGGAGAACACGAGGTCAGAGGGGTCTGACGCGTCTATCTCCCACGGCGAGCCTGGGGGTGGAGAACACGAGGTCAGAGGGGTCGAACTTAGAAGGTGAGCCAGGGGGTATAGAAATTAGAAACGCACGTTCAAAGGGGATTATTGTTGCTCCTTTTGATTATTCGATTACTCGATTATTGTTGCACCTTCGGACCATCATTCCGAGCAAGCGATGAGTGCTGAGGGAAAGATGCAATATTTGCGGCTGCACGGTGACACAACAACATGTAATGCAGCTTGTAAGAAATGAATTGAGAATTCCCACGGTATTGGTGGAGTCATGCTTGGTTTAGTGACCAAAATTATAGACAGAACCAATTATCAACAGCCGAAACTTTGTGGAAACGGCAGGTTCATGAGAAAAGTGGTAGGTGGCGAGCGAATTGCGCACTGGTTTGTTGCAAAGTCTGCACATAAGTGATGAAATTTTCCCTAAAATTGCAAGTCGACCACCAATGCCACCACACATGAATAAGTGGGTGGCCACAATTTCCGACGGGAATGCATTGCACCATGCTCATTACCCCAGATGCTCAATCACTCAGAAAATCATACAGGCATTACCTAAATTGGGAGTGAAATATTTTATACATATACTGGAGCATATTGTTACTAGCGTAGGTATAAAGTATACATCATAATGAACAAATCCGTTTTGTGGTTCCCATGTAAGTATGACAAATATTTTTTTTAAATTCAAGTGCATACAAATGCTGCATTCTAAAAAGCCTGAAGCAGGCCCATGCAAATGCCAACTGTGTTATCGATCATTGAAGAAGAAAAAATCAGAAAAAGCTGCAAGTTAGAACTGTACTCGTAGGTTTAGGCAAGACTAAACTACGTGAAGATAAGGAAAACACAGATGAATGCGTAATGATCTTACTAGACTTAATTACACACAGAAATGACGAGGAAGACTTCTTCGGTTCTCAGTTCACACCCACATATGATAACGACTTCTATCTGAACACCTACTAAATGCATCGAGTTAAAAAGGAAGTTACGAGGAAATACAGCATCGGAGCATAAATGTAAGATGTTTACAACACATGTAGGACTACAAATTAAGTCAATCTGGCCACCAATTCAGTCGTCGTACACATGTGAGAGACCAGAAAATACCATCAATTCACTCACATGGCCTTGCGGTTTCATATAAGCATGATTGAGGTGTGTGAAAACAATAGAGTTGCTATTAAATAAACGGACGCGGATCAAACAGCCAGTGTCTCCTATCAGACAGCGGTCAAAGCACACAGCAGGTGGCTATACAGACGCGTTGACGAACAAATGGGAGAGAGCTGCTGAGTTGACCTCATTCACCCATTTACAATCTCTCTGCGGGGCGAGGAAGGGCTGTTTGAGGCACATACCGCCGCAGGCAGTTTGTGAAAACCCAATTGGGTAGTAGCTCCCTGTCAGGATCTGCAGTGGGGCGGAACTGAACGGTAAAAATATGACACAGAAACACACCAATCAACGTCACTCGAAGAAACGTTTGACTGATGGCATCGATCGTAAGCGATACCCAGCGGCTATCACAGCGATTAGGAGCTATTTAAGGGAACGTTTCACCGATACATCCGAACTATATTATCCTCGCAGACCGAGTTTCCGATCCGTACTGTATCACAAATGCACGTAATTGAAGCCCTTAACACCCGATACCATTGCAGAAGTCTTTACAATAGGTCGCCAAGACTTTACAAACCAGTTAGAAAATCCTGTAGTTCCTGAAGCCTGCAGTAAGATCTTTCTCAAGCTATCATCTGCGGCATCGGTAAATAAATCATAAGGGTAATTATTGTTTTCGAGATCATGAAAAAAGAGCTCGGTGGTGTTCGCAGGACAAAAATTATCCATCGAATCTCACATTTTCCCCATGTTCTGACGGCATTCTCAGCGCAGCTTGCCTTGGGCCCTTCCACCCCGGTTGCGCCCTGTGCCGGCGACGGGACGGATGGGCTAACAGAAAGAAGGGACGCCGACCCCGGCCGCAGCACTCTCCGTGGGAACATCTGCCCCAGGCGTGGGAGCCGGCCACTGCGCCGGTGGGACTGGCCTGCAGACCGGCCGGCCGGCCGGCGGACCAGCAGCCGCAACAGCAGCCACAGTCAGAGCGCAGTAGCAGCAGTATTAGTGGCTGATGATCGGGTTTAGGATGTGTGAGGATGCCTGGGATGTGGGCAAATTGAATATTTAATATGACTTGATGTAATGTGATTGATTGATTGATTGATTGATTCGAGCGTCCTTTCACATGTTTCAAACTATAAACATATATTTCTTAGCTAGGAATGTCCGGTTGGCGGCTCTAATGTAGAAACATGAACTTAAGACATTTTGATTGCCCAGCCTGACCCGTTTATTTTACTGTAGACAAATGGACAAAAGAGAAAATCAGACTCAGTGCTGTCATTCGCCTAATTAAACCAGCTGTGCTCCTTTTGTTTTCGCTTACTTTAGCCCAACCTAACCATGAACGGCTAGGCAAAAAAAAACATACCAAGCTACGAAGACGTGCCTAATCACCCCGTTCCAGCACCTGTGGTTGATCCCAATCCAGGACAAATTATCGTCCAATTCACAGGCCCGCCGTTCGCGGATCATTAGGGCCGACTGGCTGAGCTACGCCTCCAGAGCCGTCATCGGCCCACACCATCGGGGCGATGACGGGCAATTATTGGCGGCGGTAGGACCGAGTTCCAGCCACAGCGATACTGCTGCAGAGCACTTGACTGGTAAAAGAGGTTAGAAGGTGGCACATATTCTTAGGGTGCCAAATATAATAAAGGAAATAGTCACCCAGTAAAAAAATAATTTTGAATTTTTACCAAAAAATAATATGTTTACCCAATATGGGAAGCTTTAACAACGTGCCTACACAACGTATGATATAAAATGAATACTCTTTTTAATATAATCATTCCAAATTACGGCGTCCGCTTCCACAATCATCATCAGTTGTCCTTCATCAGTCACCCATTATTCCGGCGCTGTGTCGTTCTGGTGACAGCGCCTGTCCCCGCCCTCCACGTGCAGAGGTCATTGCCACCCGGGCGACCCTCGACCGGAGCGAGCCACTGGCGCTGTCCGGAGATATCGTCACGCGTCCAGCCGGCGAGACAGGTTCACCTAGAGCCCGGTCAGCTCCGGATTCCAGTCCAGCCGCCCCACATTCGCCGCACGCTTGATAACGCGTGATACAGGCAGTTCTGCGACTAACGAGACAATACTCACATTCCGATAATCGACCACCGCCCACGTCCAACGGTTAACCAGCGTCCAGCATTCGCCAGCGAAATTCCTGTTGAACATCTATGGCTTACGTCTTGCAGGCGGTAGTTTACCATGCACCAATGGCCAGGCATCGTCGCCCTGAAGCAGCCCACTGTCTTTGCATATAACAAGTATGTCTTATTCAAATTAAACGGGCAACGACTCACCCACCATCCGATTACCATCCACCGTCCGCCGCCCGCTATCCGCTGTCACCTCTTAACGCCCACCCGTCCAATCACAGACCAGCCTGAGCCGGCTGTCCGCACCGCGCCTCGCTGAGTTCCCCGATGTTCCGCCCGCACGGCCGGCCGCCCGGCCGCGTATTCCTTCCCCGTGCCGGGCCGCGCCGGTCGACTGCATAACGGGTCTTGGCGATGCACGCTCCGCGGGAGGTAATCGAAGAACCGGAGAGGTATGACGGGTCACCACGGGCCACGGCGGGCCAGGCCCGACACGCCAGGCGTGGGAACTACGGTCGGAGCTCAGTGTGGGAGAGGAGCGTGGGTGGTGGGCGCAGTGGCGCGGGAACTTCTTCCAGACTGGGGGGGGGGGGGGGGGGGCTGAACCATAATAGAAATCAACCTAGGGTACCCCCAAATCTAGTTTTCTCACCGGTTTTAGGCCACTTATTTTTCAGACCTTGGCCTTTTCAACAACAACAAAAAAAAAAACGCGAAAATATTTTCAAAAAGTGAGGTATTCCGTCTCAGCTGAGTGAAGAAACTACCGTTTTGGCAACCTGGAGTAAAGGTTTTAATCTGCCAAATGAGTTGCCGAGCCAGTGAAATAGGTGGATTTTTCACTTACATGCTTTCTTCCTTTGCGACCCACAACCCCTAATTTGGGGAGGACAAGCTACCCAACGGTTCCTGGCCTCATGAAACGTTGTGGGGCACCGCCCCCACGGCCGCAGAGTCGTGGGGGCAAGCTTCCCCCACTGCCCCCTCCCCCAGTTCCCGCGCCTATGTATGAATCTATGAAATTATGTTGGCAGATTTCCGATTTCGATTCCTCCAGCTGGGGGGGCTCAAATACATTACGAGCCCCCCAGCCGAAAAGCTGGGGGGCTCAGCCCCCGCTAGCCCCCCCCCCCGGTTCCCGCGCCACTGGGTGGGCGTGTGTTAGGAGGGGTGTGATAGATAAGTGATACGTTTATGTTGCTGATGATGGGACGAAATGTGGTTGAGGTGAAAGGAGGAATGAGAGAGGAACGTGAAACAGGTTGGGGAATGGCTGGGACTGTTTTTACGAGAAGTCTTGTGTTTTAACCAAACACGTGTTAGGTGTGTCTCAGAGCTCAGTAGCGACTTTCTCCTCATTTAGTGACTTCCAACTGAATCTATTTAGCTCAGACGTCAGTCTCTACAGTGTTCCTTTTCATGTAGCGCGGAAGCCGACAAATAAATCCGTCAGCCTCAGTAGCTCCTCAGCAACCAGCTATCAGTGCTTCAGCGTCACGGACCGACCACGATCACGTCACGTCACGCCACGGTTCGTGAGTCGGCAGCCGTGACGGGCGACGACCACCGTGACGGGGCTGGTGGCGGGCCGTCGCCGCCGTCTTGTGCAACACCGCAGCGGGCCGCACAGTTCGTGAGACGGAGAGCAGTTGGGAAACTGAAGCGTCACAGAGTGTCACAGAGCGTCACGGAGCGTGTCACACGGTGTCAG